AGGGCTGCGCTCCTCTTCCTCCTCCTCCTCCAGCTCCTTCTGGATCAGCTGCGAAAGGTCCACAGAGGGGGGTGGGAATCACCACCACCATCCTGGCTCCCCTGCCTCCAAATGCCGCAGCCCAGGGCGAGGGATGGGACCCTCCTGGAGCAACGTCAGAGCATGGTGATGGGGATCACCAGCGCGGTGATGATCTCCATCCGGGCACCCCAGCTCAGGCACTGGCTGCCACCGGGGTGTTATGTCTGGCAGCAGCCCCCCCGCAGTGTCCAAGGAGGGGTTTGGACCCAGGTTGGGATTTGGGGTTGTGGGAGAGGAGGCAGACAAGGAAAGGAGTTGAGGAAAGTCTAGACAGGGCTGGAAGGGGATAAGAGAGAGGAGGGATGGGGGGGCAGAAGGGCTTAAAGGTATTTCCTGCCCCACTGCACTCCTCCATTCTCTTTGCCCCATGTTTTACTCCTCATGAAGAGGCTGCAGGAGAAGCTGCTTCTCCCCACACCATCCTTCCTGTGACAAAACCCTCTGTCCCAGCCTTTCTGCTTCAAAAACCTGCTGGCTTGATCAGCTCAGAGGGACGGAGGGGGAGATGTCTGTGTCAGCGCAGGGACCTGCAGCTTCTTGGCCAGCCTCGGCAGAGCAACTGCGCTTTTGCAGGGGTGACGGACAGAGCACACCTTGCAGAGCCGGGGGGTTCTTTCCCAGAGTGGGAGACACCGAGGGAGAGGGTGCTGCTGATGCTCAGAGGAAAACACAGAGGTCACAAGAGCTGGGGCACCACGGGGAACTGGCAGCCTCAGTGGAAAACCAGCATCTGGCTCATTTTGGCCAAGCAGGGAAAGGGAAGTGATCACTGGGTGACGGGGACTGTGTCCGTGGGGAGCGACAGCAGCCTGCAGGGCCAGGAAGACACACTGCATCCCAGAGGGCACGGCAAGCATCTCCCCACGCTCATGCACACCCCGTCTACCTCCGAGACCGAGGAGCGGTCCCCCTGACTGGCGGTGGCCTTATGCACCATCCGCTGGGCAAAGAGCTTTTTCAAGCGCATGTAATCGTCCAGGACCACCTTCAAGAGAGAGCCCTGGGCGGGCGGGGAGAGAAGGTGGGTTACCCAAGGTTTGGTCAGAGGGAGGCCGGCTTCATCCCAGTAATTTTTGGAGCAACATCACCCTCTGGCACCGCAGCTGTGAACCTGGAAGCCGTAGCAGTAAGAGAAACCCCCCCCCTTTGAGGATGATGCCCACCCATCGCTCACCTTGATGGGTCCCTCCCGCATGATCTGCCCCAGCTTGGCAATGTTGTCGTACTCCTGGATGGCTGCCCGCAGGTAGCGGTCATCCTCGGGCTTGGCCGCAGCGGGCT